AGGCCTAAGAAGCAGGTAGAAAAATGAAACAAAGGAACATATTAAAAAAAAAAAAAAGAAGAAGAAGAAATTTCAAAGAAAAAATTTAAAAATCAGTACCAGGAAAAAAAAACAGTAAAAATTTCTTAAATTACCATGAAGGGAAAGTGTTCACAACATGCGGCTAAGTGAAAAAAGTAGATTTTAATAGCAACATCAAAATATTAAAAGGTTTATATGTGGATGATGAGTTATGGATGATTTTTATTTTCTTTTTTGTATTTTGATTATTTTAATTTTTTTTTTACTCTAAGCACTGTTTTTGTAATCAGAAAAATCACGATTAATGTAACGTAAAAGATATGGTGGAGAGACCAAAAAAAAAAAGACAAATTACCATGAAGCTTAACTACACTAAAAGAAACAGAATACATTATGACAGGAAAGAAAATCAGCAGATTTTGAACATTCTAACCATTCTGACTTTGAAACAGCTAATAAATCTCTAGTAGAAAAATGAGTGCTGGTTGGAGATTGCAGAAGTGTTCTTACTTGCCTACAGGGTTTACCCCATTCTGTTTTAACATTAAGCCTCAATACCCATAAAAAATAGTAGATTTGTTCATACACCCTCTCCTCATTTACCTACTGTCTCATTATCCAACATTTCACATTTACGGCAATAGTAAAAATCTACTGACTGTTTTGTGCATTACAACATACAGCTGGCAGTAATGAACACCACGGTACAAGGTGAGAGTAACACTGGCTTTGATGGTTAAGGTTATGTGTCAGCTTGGCTGGGCCATGATTCTCGGTAGTTTGGCAATTATATAATGATGTAATTGGCCAGTTATGTAATGATGTAATTGTCTTCCATTTTGTGATCTGATTAGGTCATCCTCCATTTTTGCATAACAACCGATTTCACATAACAACCTAGTTTTTAGAACCTAACCAAGTTGATACGTGAGGAGACGGCGTAGTTGTGAGGATTAAATTAGATAATGAAGCTTTGTTTTAAGATTACGTTCTAAAGTCAGTTCATAAATTAAATACATCAAGAAACTCTACTGTATATAATAGCTATATATTCAAATATATGTATGTATATATATATTTGTGTGTATACACACACACACAAAATGAGCATCAGGGCAAGGTTGGAAGAAATCGAAGCCAGACCATGAGTTAGGAATAAAGAAGAGTTTGTGTTTCTCCCTATAGCATAGTCCCCTAATGGAAGCTCGGAGCCAACACAGGAGTGAGGGTTACTGGGAATCTAGACCAGCATAGCTGGTATATTCTACCCTTCTAGAGCCGAATTGAACAATACGAACAAGAGGGGAAAACTGTATCCTTGGACCAGGATTTCTTAGTTCTATGAAGGTAAATGGAGGAAGGGTAAATTGAAGGAAGAAGAATCCAGCCTTTTGACCATCCAATAGGATGTCTCCCTTAAATTCATATATTTTAAAGCAATATTAAAAAAAAAAACCAAGTAAAAATGAATTTAAGGATAAAAAATACAGTGGTATATTGAAAAAAAAAAGTTAATAGAGATTCTTTAATAAATGGCCAAGAAAAACCTTTTCTCTGGCTGAAACTGGTTAAAGCTGCTTGCTGATGTCAAGCAATTGAGACAAAGTTAAACTGCTTCCTGAAGACTGGATCAACAACTGGGAGTGACCCAAGCAAAGAGCCCTTGGGGTCATACTTTAAGTCAGAATCTTCTCCATTTCATACCTATGAAGGGGGAAATAAATTGCCAGCACTAACAACAAGCCACTGCAAGCAAATGTAGAGCAAACAGTCCCCTATTCATGATTCCCATTCCCTGTAGATTGGTGACTGGCTGGTACAGTTAGATAACCCACTGGTATCAGCATATGTACTCCATGATGTTTTAACCTATAGCTAGCCCTGACATTAAAAAAAAATAGCATTTTTCTAGCTTGGCCTAAAAAGACCCAACAAAAAGAGAAAATCAAAAGTTCTTCTTGGTTAGCAGCATTAGTGTCTGTATCAGTTAGGGTCCTTTGTAGGGTCTTTGCAGGCAAAAGAAACTAACTCTGGCCAACTTAAGCACAAAGCAAAATGTTTGCAAGGCCATAGAGTGGTTCACAGAATCAAAGTAACAGCTGAAAAACGAGGAATGGAAAGAGCAGAACCAAGGCAGCAGCAAGGGTAGCGGAAGCTAATTAACAATTTCATCAGGGCAGTAAGGTTGGAATGAATCATCTTTATTACATTCTTCAAGATTCAGTCTGAGGAGAGAGAGCCAGTCAAACCTAGTTTGAGTCATAAGCCCAAGTGGCCAAGATACAGCAGGCACTTTGATCACCAGTCCCCACAGGATTGTGCACAGAGGGTGAATTTATACACTTCCAAAAGAGGAAAGTGCTGTTATCAAGTGAAACAGGGATAGGTACTGGTTAGCCAATTAGGAAAAAAAAAAAAAAATGTTTTAATTGTATCATCCACAACTCTCAGCTATGGGATAATAATATGGAGTTAACATTTTAAAGCACATTGTTTTGATTCTATAAAAAGTCAAGTTTGTTTTGAAAACCCTATGAAAAAGAAATAGAGAACACATCCTTCTCTCCGGTAACAACATAGTGACTTTTCCTGGATATTACAATGTATTGTCTGGGTTTGAGATTGTGAATGAGAATTTCATTTAAAAGCCAATTCTCTAATATTCTCACTGCACTGTAAAAATGCATCACACCTATCCCTCTTCTTTCTGATCCAAAGGGCACAGAATCAGAATTTTATGAATAGACTTGCTTTATTTAAATATCTTATCACTGGAAATACTTATTAATATAAATCAGGTCAGTCTGACCCACTTAATCACATATCTTGCAAGACTATAGGCACAAAATAATATTAAGAAAATTTAATTAACAAGAACTCAGAATTGTGTACTGATTAAATACCTAACCTAGGAAAATGGCAAGTCTTCTTGCTCCTATCTTATGCTGCCACATCCCTGGTCATATAAGCCATCACCTCTATTGAGATAACCTATGATAATAATTAACAAGTATTAAATGCCTTCTATCTACTAAGAACAATATTTGGCACTTGACATATGTTATCAATAGTCTTTAAAACAACTCTGCAAAGTAGGTTGTTATCCTGGTTTCTCTGATATGGAAAACTGAGGCTCAGTCACAGAGATTAGTTGATTTGCTCACTTTGACAGGGCTGCTAAGCATCAGAGCAAAAGATTTGAACACAGATCTATACAACTTCAAAGGTTTGCCCTTTCTACCAAGTAATACCAGCAGCGTCACCCATGACGAACAGGTTTCAGCTGAGCTTCCAGACTAAGACAGACTAGGAAAAAGGACCCGGTAGTTTACTTCTGAAAATAATTAGCCAGTGAAAACCTTATGAATAACAGCGGAACATTGTCTGATATAGTGCCAGAAGATGAGCCCCTCAGGCTGGAAGGCACTCAAACTAGGACTGGGGAAGAGCTCCCTCCTCGAAGTAGAGTCAACCTTAATGACGTAGATGGAGTCAAGCTTTCAAGACCTTCATTTGCTGATGTGGCACGACTCAAAATGAGAAGAAACAGCTCCAAACATCCATTAATAATCAGAACCTGGAATGTATGAGGTATGAATCTAGGAAAATTGGAAATCGTCAAAAATAAAATGGAACACATAAACATTGATATCCTAGGCATTAGGGAGCTGAAATGGACAGGTATTGGTCATTTTGAATCAGACAATCATATGGTCTACTGTGCCGGGAATGACAACTTGAAGAGGAATGGCATTGCATTCATCATCAAAGAGAACATTTCAAGATCTATCCTGAAGTACAGTGCTGTCAGTGATAGGATAATAGCCATATGCCTACAAGGAAGACCAGTTAATACAACTATTATTCAAATATACACACCAACCACTAAGGCCAAAGATGAGGAAATTGAATTTGGTTACCAACTTTTGCAGTCTGAAATTGATCGAACATGCAGTCAGGATGCACTGATAATTACTGATGATTGTAATGTGAAAGTTGGAAACGAAGAAAGATCTGTAGTTGGAAAATATGGCCTTGGTGATAGAAATGATGCCAGAGATCACATGGCTGCATTTTGCAAGACCAATGACTTCTTCACTGCAAATACCATTTTTCACCAACATAAACAGCCACTATACACGTGGACCTCGCCAGATGAAACACAGGAATCAAATCGACTACATCTGTGGAAAGAGATGATGGAAAAGCACAATATCATCAGTCAGAACAAGGCCAGGGTCAGACCATCAATTACTCATGTGCAAGTTCAAGTTGAAACTGAAGAAAATTAGAACAAGTCCACGAGAGCCAAGGTACGACCTTGAGTTTATCCCACCTGAATTCAGAGACCATCTCAAGAATAGATTTGATGCATTGAACACTAACGACCGAAGACCAGACGAGTTGTGGAATGACATCAAGGACAACATACGTGAAGAAAGCAAGAGGTTGTTAAAAAGACAGGAGAGAAAGAAAAGACCTAAATGGATGTCAGAAGAGACCCTGAAACTTCCCCTTGAATGTCGAGTAGCTAAAGCAAAAGGAAAAAATGATGAAATCAAAGAGCTGAACAGAAGATTTCAAAGCGTGGCTCAAGTATTATGATGACGTGTGCATAGACCTGGAGAAAGAAAACCAAAGGGGAAGAACACATTCAGCATTTCTCTAGCTAAAAGAACTGAAGAAAAAAATTCAAGCCTCGAGTTGCAATACTGAAGAATTTTATGGGGAAAATATTAAACGACACAGGAAGCATCAAAAGAAGATGGAAGAAATACACAGAGTCACTATACCAAAAAGAATTGGTCAATGTTCAACCATTTCAGGAGGTGACATATGATCAGGAACCAATGGTATGGAAGGAAGAAATCCAAGCTACATTGAAGGCATTGGTGAAAAACAAGGCTCCAGGAATTGACGGGATACCAATTGAGATGTTTCAACAAACAAATGCAGCACCGGAAGTGCTCACTCGTCTATGCCAAGAAATTTGGAAGACAGCTACATGGCCAGTCGACTGGAAGAGATCCATATTTATGCCTATTCCCAATAAAGGTGATCCAGCCAAATGTGGAAATTATCAAACAATTTCATTGGTATCACATGCAAGCAAAATTTTGCTGAAGATCATTCAAAAGTGGCTGCAGCAGTATATCGACAGGGAAGTGCCAGAAATTCAAGCCAGATTTAGAAGAGGACATGGAACCAGAGATATCACTGCTGATGTACGATGGATCCTGGCTGAAAGCATAGAATACCAGAAAGATGTTTACCTGTGTTTTATTGAATACATGAAGGCATTCAGTTTTGCGGATCATAACAAATTATGGATAACGTTGCACAGAGTGGGAATTCTGGAACACTTGATTGTGCTCATGAGGAATCTGTACATGGATCAAGAGGCAGTCATTAGAATAGAAGAAAGGGATACTGCATAGTTTAAAGTCAGGGAAGGTGTGTGTCTGGGTTGTATCCTTTTACCATACCTATTCAGTCTGCATGCTGAGCAAATAATCCAAGAAGCTGCACTATATGAAGAAGAACGCGGCATCAGGATTGGAGGAAGACTCGTTAATAACCTGTGTCATGCAGATGACACAACTTTGCTTACTGAAAGTGAAGAGGACTTGAAGCACTTACTGATGAAGATCAAAGACTACAGCCTTCAGTATGGATTACACCTCAACAGAAAAAAAACAAAAATCCTCACAAGTGGACCAATAAGCAACATCATGATAAACGGAGAAAGGAATGAGGTTGTCAAGGATTTCATTTTACTTGAATCCACAATCAACATCCATGGAAGCAGCAGTCAAGAAATCAAAAGACACATTGCATTGGGCAAATCTGCTGCAAAAGACCTTTTTAAAGTGTTGAAAAGTAAAGATGTCACCTTGAGGACTAAGGTGCGCCTGACCCAAGCCATGGTGTTTTCAATCGCCTCATATGCATGTGAATGCTGGACAATGAATAAGGAAGACCAAAGAAGAATTGATGCCTTTGAATTGTGGTGTTGGCAAAGAATATTAAATATACCATGGACTGCCAAAAGAATGAATAAATCTGTCTTGGAAGAAGTACAACCAGAATTCTCCTTAGATGCAACGGTAGCGAGACTACGTCTCACATACTTTGGACATGTTATCAGGAGGGACCAGTCCCTGGAGAAGGACATCATGCCTGGTAAAGTAGAGGGTCATCAAAAAAGAGGAAGACCCTCAACGAGATGGATTGACACAGTGGCTGCAACAATGGGATCAAGCATAGCAACAATTGTTAGGATGGCGCAGGACTGAGCAGTGTTTCGTTCTGCTGTGCATAGGGTCTCTGTGAGTCGGAACCGACTCGGCAGCACCTAACAACAATACTGTCTCACATAAAAGAGGTCAGCAGGGCCACATAGGCTATGTTATAAATGGTACCCTCAGGAGACTGTGTGATATGGCCCTGGATTGAGGATTTTCAACCAGTAAGTACACAAAATGAGGGAGCCAGAAAAGATTGGAAACCCTGGTAGCCATGGATTTAGAAGCATGGAGAAAGTGCTGAGTAAGGTTTGCGTGTGGAAGTAGCCAGCTACAATATTTGAGGTTGGTGAATACATTAATATTACAGTATATGTTGCTTTTAAGTCCTGTAGTAATAAGGCAGTCAAAGATAAGGCACTGCTAGGTTCTAAAATGGAAAACAGTTTAAGCAGTGCTTTTAAAACTTTCTAGCACCACGGAGTATAGAATTTGATGTATTGTACTGTAATTTCTTCCTCGGTGCCATATATTTATCATATTTAGAACTTCATTCTTCAATTCTATGCTCATCTGGGGATGAAAATGGGTACGCTTGTAGAACAAATCGGGCAAACTTTTGAATTTCAGCAGTTTGTTCAGGGCTTTGAACCGGTTCGTTCCACCCTGACCCCCTGCTAAGAATTTGCCTTTCCACCCCGGATGTATTGAATCAGAATCTACATTTTAACAAGATTCCCAGGTGATTCTTATGTATAGCTGGGGATCTGGTTAAAATGTAGGTTCTGATTCAGTACATCTGGGATGGAAAGGCAAATTCTCAGCAGGGGTCAGGTGGAATGAACCGGTTCAAAGCCTTGGTTTTTTTCCACAATTTAAGGCCTTTATAACATGTTTTATGGGTCTGAGTCATTATGGCTGGGTTTCATTTGTACCTTATCTTACAGATGACAGCAAAGTTAAACTGAGTAAACTCATGGAAAATGCAGAGTCGTTTTCAGGTGAGTGAAAAGTTATAGGGAAAAATCACCGTAAATAGCAATTTTCTGTTATACTTTTAAATATTTCATTTCCATCATACTGACATTGACCTGTTAGTCCTTTTATATATTGATAGAATCTTTTATCCAGTAATCCAGATCAGTTTTGGATTAATACTTTCTGAACAAAAATACTAAATTATTATGTCTTAGGAAAATGACAAGTGTTCTCTGGATTTCTTTTTTTTTCCTAGTAAGACACATCATTTTTCCATTCTTTAAACAGTCAAAAATCTATATTACCACAATAATCGGTGAGATAAAACATTGGCATAAATCTTTTTATGAATAAATCATTTTATCACACAGATAAACAAAAAGTAAAATGGATGCTATCTTCTCACAGAATTTGTTACATAATCACTTAGACAGTAGTCATTCTAGGCCTTTATACTACCCCCATTTCAGAGTGTTGATCTATCCCATTGTTACTAGAGCATTCAAAAAGTATTTTTACCTTTAGAATTAAGAGATTAAGTTTTTTTCTGACATCTAGTGTCTTGACTCAGTGTTTTGATCAACCATGCTCTTGATCCTGCAATTGAACTTAGATGACATTATTCATATTTGCACTCATTCCTTATTCCTAAAATTTTCACAGTCATAATTTTCATCTCTTCAAAGGAGTCAAGTTTAATGCTGATGAAGTAGAAGACGTTTTGGAAAACATGGGGGTAGTACTTACACCTAAGGAACGCTGGGAGCTGCTGAGAACTCTGCCAATTACTTGTGAGCATTTCTGATACCACCTTGGCTTTCAGGGGAGCTTAGTTTGAGTGTGTGTATTGTTGGGGGAGGTGAGGGATTACTAATTCAACCTATTTTTATTGAGCACTTCTTAGGTGATGTGATAAAAGACAAAGTCTTTGCCCTCGTGGAGGTTGTTATAGAGAGTGAAGCTTACTCTGTTGGGATTGAGTGTGAGAACGTCATAAACAAAGATTCCAAAATTGATAAAAATTTTTAAGTTAGGGTATTAACCTTGGAATATCTGTCAGCCCTAGAGTATAAAGAGAAAGGAGGAGGAAAAAGGAGAGGAAGTCAAGTAATTATAGTAGGATAAAAAGGGACAAGTCAGAAACAGAGAAAGTTTCAGCATAGAAAAAGGATAAATTTAGAACTTTCTCTACTTCTTTGCTTTATTCAAGAGAAGGATGTATGAATGAGAAATTGGATAAGTCTAAGGCAATTCACAGAAGATTGTCTTTATGAACTAACAGTCGTACTCTTATTATGAATTGCTGCATCACTTTCTATATGACATCAATTATGTATTCTCTTACAGCTGATGGAAAAGTATATCACAATCGGTTGGTAGATAGTTTAAAGACTTTCCATGGTGAGTGATAAACATAGAAAGAAGAGAAGTAAAACTGAGATCTTTAACCTTTGTATTTGCTTTTGAAAGTCCCTTTAATAACTTAATGATAACAATAGCTAATTTCTATTGAATGTAGTACCAGTCACTGTCCTAAGCATTTTACATGCATTAATTTATTAAATTATTTAACTTTCACAAAAATCCTATGAGATAGATAACTTTTATAATCACTATTAATTTGCCCAAGTTCATATTGTTTGAACTTGGGAAGAGCCAGGATTTGAACCCACACTCTTAGATACTCTATTATACTTAATAGTTAGGTTGTTAACCCTTTTTACCCCCTTTATGTCTTATAGCTTAAGTTCAATACCATTAAGTTTGTAGAGATAATTTACTGTTACAATGACAGGTTTCAAACTCTACTTGCTAATCAGAATTATGGCTGTTATTTCTGACATATTTCTCCATTAGGAAGATAAATGGATAATAAGCCTTATTCATTTGCTTTGCTTTAGACATCTGCTAAAAAATTTAGCAGGGTGTCTTGGAACATGTGTAAGGGAAATGTTCTTTTTTTCATATCCCTACCCATATAGCCTGCCACCTTGGTTTTATGCTTTCCTTAAACGTCTATATTGTAACTTTGCTTTTCTCCCTCCCACTGGGGCTTGGTGCATATACATACCTAGAATTTTTAATTTTTAGGCATAATTTCACATTTTTGTAATTTCATCTCTTTCTTACTTAAGGAGGAAGGATTTATGAAAATAAACTAGAATCCATTCTAGAAAAATTGAACTTGGAACTTGAAAAAAATGAAATAAAAGATCTGCGGAACCATTTGAAAACTGACAGTGAGTATTTAATTTACCTCTTACCACTTTCTTTCAGAAGAATCTTTGACTTTCTCTTGCAAAACCTTCGAGAGTATTTTTGCTGATTTTCATTTATAGAGAAAAAAGTACATGTGGAGTTATAATCCTCAAGGATGAAAAAGATGGCTTCTGTGTTAATCTCAATATTGTCAGAGGGCCAATAAGGGCTCTGGTAGATTTAGATTTAGGAGGTGCTAGGAAAAACAAACACTTTAGGAGAAAATAAAAGAAGTTATTGAAATAGATGTTGGAAGAAGTCAGACTGACAAAAACAAGTGAGAAGTAAAAAGGGTGTGGAATTGTTTGACAATATATAACGTACAAATAGAAGTGATCACGTTTTCATTTAGCAAATATGAGATGAATGTCAGAGTGGGATTGAAACAGAGGGTCAGTTATTTCTGACTTGAGACCATTAAGCTGGCCCCAGTGAGATCTTTTAATTCAAAAGGACCACTTAAGAAAAGAATATAACACCTTTTAGCTTTCTAATATACCCTCTTAAGAATTCTATAAGATAATTGGATACAAGAAAAACATTCACAAATCAACAAATTTTCTCTGTCAGCAATGACACTTAGAAAATTTAATGGGAAAAATGATCCCAATTCCTAACAGCAGTGAAAATTTTGTCTGTATCTGATTTATGCTTTGGGTTTCAGGTAGTGGAAATGTTCCGCTGAATTCCCTGATGAATTTAACAAAATATTTTGCTGGTGAGTGAGAAGTAATAATAAAAAGATATAAAATCAAGATCCTTTGTTATACGTACACACACACACACATACACACACATATTTTAATTGTATATCCCAGTAACCCATAATTTACCAATATATTGCTGATATGTTTGTTTTTAAGAATATAGATGAATTTTTTTTTGTTAGCTACCTTTTAGAAGTACATTTTTTATTCAGGAGTCTATTTTATTATAGGTTAGTTGGCTTATCCCCATTGTTTTTAGAGCATTATATAAAGCATTGTTTTGGCCAGGATTAAAGGAAACCTGTTCTATTTTTAGCTCCTTCGTGTGATGCTCTGCAATTAGATAAGTCTCATTGTGCCCTTGTTGTTCTGTATTTATATCTCTTGAAAGTTGAGATATTGCTATTTTATTATAATTTTCTTAATTTAGAACTGTTATATATGAAAATCTTCACTTATCACTTTTCCCATCTTTTTTAAAGGTGTTAAGATTAATGCCAGTGACGTACAATTTTATCTAGGAAATGTAGGTATTGAACTTACAAGTAAGGAAAGCCAGAATCTGCTGAACACGCTGCCATTGAATGGTAAGCATTTCAGACTTGCAGTGAATTTCAGAGGATCTTGGGCTTATGAGTTTGTGTGCATAAAATTCTAGAAATATAACTATTTAAAGTCCAAAAAATTAAAAGAAGTGTAGGAAGAGCCAACTCTGATGTAAAAAATCCTGTTCTTCCATTTAGATCTTACTTTGAGAGGTCATGCTCTCTTTAGGGTCCTGCTGTTGTGGATAAAGAGTTTTAAATACTTGACCCAGCACCTATGACAGTCCTAAAGCTAAAGCTAAGTGAAGGTGATAAAGAGAAGAGTTATAGAAAGGAAAAAGAGTACATCTAAAAAAAATTTAAATTTGTTTACTCTTTAACATGTTATAGCTTCACTAATAGTACATCAGATGCCAGAGAATTAATAGTTAATCTTGAGAATCTCATTAATTTCTTTACTTCCTTCTTCTTTGGATTTTAACTAGGAAAAATTTACAAATGAAATCATTAAACATTACTGCCTTTTTAAACTTCCACTTGTTTGTGAACTGAATTGCCTTTTATCTTACAGGTAGTAGAAGGGTGTTTAAGAATAGGTTGATGGACGGGGTGAAGAATTATAAAGGTGAGTGAGAAGCATTCAAGAAAGATAAAACTGAGATCTTCAAGCTTTTGCATTCACTTTTCTGAAACCTTTTTTATTCCTCAATGATTAGATTGTTAATTGGGTTGCTCTACTGTTTTTTTTTTAATTATTGTTATTATTATTATAAGCTGAAATTCTTCCCTGTATACTATTACAATCACATTTGAAGAAATGGCCTACACCATTTTGTCTCTGAAGCAAATTTTAAATCCTTCTTACTGGTAACAACCTTGTATATTGTCTATTGTCTTTGCTATAATTCATCAGACTTGCCCACACTTTTCTTTCTTCTGGGTAAACGCATCCTAGAACTTGCTACAACAATGTTTCCTGGAACAATGGATAAGGGCGGTTTTTCCTATTTTTAACCCTCAACTGCTTCTTTTAATCACTTCAAGAGCATTGTTGCGAGATTGCTTTTTACTTCCTCTTTATGTTGATTGGCTGATATGAGGTAGCATATTTTTCCCTCTTTGGCATAACTACAAATTTTTTTTATTCTTATCCCCTTCTTTCTTAAGAAGGAAAAGTCAATATGAATAAAATAGATGATGCTCTTGAAACCATGGGATTTGAACTTGAAGAGGAAGAAATTGAAGAACTGTGTGATTACCTGCCAGTTGATGGTGAGTATTTCAAATACCATAGTGCCCCATAAGAAAAAATTTTGTTTTTCTGTGGAGACTTGTCAATTTCATGGGGGAAAAACAAATGAAAGTATATAGAGGCCCAGTACTAAAGAAAGGAAAAATATTGTCTCTGAATATTAATCTTAGATAAAATATCAATAATCATATAATTGCTGCCAACAGAGCTCCTAAGCCAGAGAGTACCAGTGAGATCACAATCAGTGTTGAGGTCAAGTACGTAAGTTCAAATAAATTTTAAACAATAGGGAGGCGGGGCCAGGATGGCAGAGTAGTCAGACACTTCTGGCAGACCCTCTTACAGCAAAGACCCCCCAAAAAAGTGAATTGTTTATATATGACAATCTAGGAGCCCTGAACATCAAAGGCAAAGTTGAGGAACTGGACTAAGTGGCAGGGGAGGGAGAGACGTTTCAGAAGCAGTGAGGAGTTGCCAGATCTGACCTGGCGAGAGCATGAGCCCTTCAGGCCTGATCAGTTCATGGGGCAGGCAAGTAGCGGTGCTTAGAGGCGCGTTTTCCACACCAGGAGAGACCAAGTGCCAGAGAGTCTACTCAACCACCCAGAACTAGTGAGAGGCAGCCCTCAATCAGCAAAAGATCAGTACTTGTGTACGGCCTACAGTGCCGATCAAAAACACCCCCCTTAGGGAAAAACCTCTCTCCCATTTACCTCCCAGCTCCCTGCTCTGCACTGGGTCCTTGACTGGCTTCAGCAATTGTCGAGTCCCCTGGGCCCGAAGTAGGATCTGGCACATGCCCTGAGCCATTCTCCTGGCCTTGGAGAGTGAACAAATTAACAAACAGGAAGAAATAAACTTCCGGCTCCCCTACGCCAGGAACCCAGGGTAGGCACAGCTCCTTTGCCTAGGCACAGGCATAAGGGATCCACGGACTTTGAGTGCTTTTCCCCCTGCAGAGACTTGTGTGGGCCCATTTGAACAGCATAGGTCCTCATTACTGCTGTACAACAGGGTATATACCTGAAGTCTAACTTCAACCATTTCAGCTGTGCAGTGGTAGGTTCCTGACATTTGACATTGCTCTGCCCATTAAACAGGGTCTTCACCTACCCACATCAGGGGCCTGAGGACTGGTGACTCCACACACACCACCTAGCCACCTGTGATAGGGGCCCAATAATAAGAGGTGCCCACCAGGCCTTACAGCCAACAGCATTAGGTACTCATAGTCTGGCTGCAAAACCCACCCACCTACGCACTGTAGGGAACAGGGACACACCATCCTCCTGGACACTGGGGGCAGCCGTCTGCCCCCTATGTCCCCCTGCTGCAGCCAGATGCCTGTGCCTACACCAATCACCCATACCTGTCTAGGACTGAAGGTGGACGCCTACATGATACAGTTGGTGGCTATCTTCCTGGGCACTTGAGCTGAATCCATACAGGAGAAGTGGACAGACTCCTTAGCTCACATACCAAGTAACAGATAAAACCACCTGGTGACAGGACATTACAGCTTCAAAGGTGCCAATAATCGAACTAGCTCACAGGAGCAGCCTATTTGGGCATGTCAAAACAAAACAAGAAGCTTAGGACACAGTAAGAAAACATAAAATAAATAAAAGTAATAACTTATTGATGGCTTGGAGACAACATTCAATATCAAATCACATAAAGAGGCAATCCATGATGGCTTCAGCATGCTCCCAAAATAAAGAATCAAGAAATTTTCCAGAGGAGGAAAATTTCTTGGAATTACCAGAGGCAGAATACAAAAGATTAATATACAGAACTCTTCAAGACATTAGGAAGGAAATTAAGCAAAATGCAGAACACACAATAGAGTAAATTAAGAAGATTAGAGAAGAGCATAATGACAAATTTAACAGGCTGCAAGAATCCATAGAGAGACAGCAATCAGAAATACAGAAGATTAACAAATAAAGGTCAGAAGTAGACAATGCAATAGAAAGTCATAGGAGCAGAACTGAGGCAATGGAAGTCAGGATTAGTGAGATTGAAGACAAAGCACCTGACACCAACTTATTTGAGGAAAAATCAGATAAAAGGATTTTAAAAAATGAAGAAACCCCAACAATTATGTGGGACTCTATTAAGAGGAATAACCTTCGAGTGATTGGAGTACCAGAACGGGGGGATAACAGAAAATACAAAGAGAATTGTTGAAGATTTGTTGGCAGAAAACTTCCCTGATATCATGAAAGATGAGAAGATACCTATCCAAGATGCTCATCAAATCCCCACATAAGGTAGATCCCAAAAGAAAGTCACCAAGACATAATCAAACTTGCCAAAACCAAAGATAAAGAGAGAATTTGAAGAGTGACTAGGGATAAACAAAAATTCATCTACAAAGAAGACTCAATAAGAATAAGCTTGGACTAATCAGCAGAAACCATGCAGGCAAGAAGGCAATGGGACGACATGTATAAAGCCTTGAAGGAAAAAAATTGCAAGCCAAGAATTACATATCCAGAAAAACTGTCTCTCAAATATGATGGCAAAATTAAGGCATTTCCAGATGAACAGAAGTTTAGGGAATTTGCAAAAACCAAAGCAAAATTACAAGAAATACTAAAGGGAGTCCTCCGGTTAGAAAATAACATCAGATAACAACCCAAAACTAGAACACAGGACAGAGCAAACAGATATCAACCCAGATAGGGAAGTCACAAAAATAAATCAATGCTAAAACACTGAAAATAGGGAAACATGTCAATATATAAAAGACGACAACATTAAAACAAAAAAGAGGGACTTAAAAAATGTAGACATAGATTTTTCATATGGAGAGGAAGGCAAGGCCATATAAAGAAACAAAAGACTGGTATAAACTTAGAAAAATAGGGGTAAATATTAAGGTAACCACAAAGGAAACTAACA